TCCAGTTTGTTTCCATGTACAAGTAGCTCTCACTCTGTGAATCTATGAAGTTTTCGAGATCTGATAGCAAGTGCCAGATGCAAATATTTTTGGTATCTGATTTTCAGAAAGAATGGCAACAGTACAGGTAGCACGAGGTTTATTTAAAACATTCTCCAGATCCAGGAGTTACTGAGTCTAGATAACGAGCATCTGGAAAGCAAGGGAAGCGTGTGCTTTTCTGTTTACCTGTCGAATTTGTCCTTTTGTCCGTCTTCCTCCTGTACACTGAAGCTTATGAGCTTCCTCGGGCCGAGATTGCATCTTTGTTTTTACTGTTGTTGTTGCTTTGTTTCTCCTCCATGCATCGCAGCATCCAGCTGTGTGCCTGGCATGGTAGGCATCCAATACTCATTGGTAGAGTGGGTGGTTGAACACACAACTCCAGTGAATGCACAGGGCTCCGACACACAGCAGGATAGGGGAGCTCCCCCGGACTAGACAGGTCAGAAAAACATTCCTGCAGGTGGCAGAGGCCTGACCCAAGTCTCAAAACGCCAGTAGGGGTTATTCAGGGAGGGGTGTAGGGAAAGGCATTCTAGGCAGAAGGAACAGCATGAGCGCAGGTCTGGAAGCCTGGGACAGAGCGTGCAGGGGAAACATCAGTAGTTTAAGAGGCTGCCTGTGGCTCCCAATTGTTAGTGTAACCCACTGTTTCTCAACCGTCTTTTCATTATTGCCTCCTAAGGAGTCTTTTTAGGCATTCTTTTCCTAATTGTCCTCCTCATGAAATTTTAACACTGTAGATATAAGCTATAGTTGTTTATGTTCTGTATGTATATGTTTTATGTTATAAAGTCAGATTTTTTTTTTTTTTTTTGCGTCTCAAAAACAAATATTGCCCTCTTGCGGATAGTGCCCTCTGGAGAACGCACGGTGTAACCTAAGAGAAAGCCCTCATCCTTAGAGGATGTCCCCACTCTCTGTTCTTTCCCTTCTTCTCCAGCCTACAGGGGGGTGGGGGCACCACCCCCAATTCCTGGGAACCAGGTCTCTTGGCTGCCATCTTGGCTGCCATCTTGGTTCTGATTGATTTTCTTCCAGCCATCATTGAGGAGAAGACCAATGACCTCCTGCTGCTGGAGTCCTACAAACGGATCCTGGATATGGAAGGGGCAGAGACCGAGATGCCACCGCCCTTCATCAACCCTTTCTGGGGCGGCTCTTCCCTCCTCAAGCCTACAGAACCCATCAAAGTCATCCCCCCGGTGCTTGGGGCTGACCCCTTCAGCGACAGGTTGGATGAAGGTGAGTTCTCTTTCTCCCCCAATCTGCACAGGTTGCTAGGAGACCTGTGCCAGAGAGAGTCTGCAGTGCTGAGCCTCAGTTTCCCTTTATGAGTCTCGTAGGCCCATCCGTTCCATTGGGTTCCATCATGGCTGTGGTCCCTTGACTTGTTTTGCCTGGTGATGCTTCCCTCTACAGTGCAATGACCTAGCCACAGATCCTGAAGTTTAGTGATCCTGGATATTTTTTTCAATCACTACTTTGTGACCATTTAAAATGAACCTTAAAATGCTTAAGTTTACAAATTGGCAAGTTGCAGACACACAAGATTCCCTAGGCCCATCTCTCACCCTAACCTTATGCCCCTGAGTCTGTCTCCACCCACGGCCATTCTTGCCCCACCCCAACCGTGTCCTGCAACCTCATGGTTGAGGCAGCTGCGGCTTGGTTCCCTGGAAGCCAAATGCCTAACTGTGGCCCCTGTGGCCAGGTTGTCAATCTTCCCTCCTGACACTCCCTTCACCCGGGGAAGCAGCCCTTCTCTCTGGGGGCGGGGAGAAAATTGGCCCCGCCTGGGTTTTGGAGGGTAGTTGCCACATGTGTGGCAAGCCTGGGACACAGATACACCTGTGAAGCCCGTCATCTTGCCTGTGCAGATTGGTCCTCCAAGAAACATTTATTCAAGGTTCAAGGATGAAAGTAGGGCCATGTTCACTGCAGCCCCGAACTGGGCACTACTGAAACGCTCACCCATTGGAGACTTGTTACGTGAATTACGGGTCACCCATCTGTGCAACAGGCTTACTGTGCAGACACAGACAAGAGTACAGTGGGTCACTATAAACTCTCCCTCTCTCTCTCTCTGTCTCTTTCTCTCTCTCTCTCTTTCACACACACACACATACACACACGCTCTCAAACTTATAATTTATATATAAATTATATATGTGTAATGATATATGGATTATAGGATATAATCCTATATCCTATAGTATCCAGGGGACTTTGAGCCATGTCTGGAGATATTTTTGGTTGTCACACCTGGGAGGTAAGGGATACTGCTGGCATCTAGTGGCCAGGGAAGCTGCTAGAAATCCTACAAAGCACAAGACAGCCCTTGACAACCCCGATGTATAATAGGGAAAGAACTGTGTATAATGAGAGAGGAGGAGGAGGAGGAGGAG